ATTTATTTGAAAATTTTTATTTTTTTGCATCATATACATGTTTTTCAAATCATGTTTCTATCATCTAATTTTTTTTTTATCTCACATACATCATATCATTAAAAAATATCCCATTTAGACACACTCATTATTATTTGTGTAATTAAATCAATGACCAAATTAATTATTAGCAACACAAATATTAATGGGACATGCTGGTGATGTGATGATATTCCATCCAAATTGGTTAATAATCATTCAATTGTTTTTAATTGATGAAATTTGTGAAGTTATGAGGATGAAATGTGTTTGCATGAAACTATAGAAATGAAATTGATCCAAATTATAAAATTATGAGGATGAAATGTGTTTTGACTGAAACTTTAAGGATGAAATTGTTCAACACTTAAAACATCAGGAATGAAAAGTCCATTTTTTCCAATTAATTTTAGTAAAACTTTAGGAACCAAAATGGTGAAATTCCCTTGGGGTTTTGGTATTGCATATTGTAGGATGTGGCGAGGTGGAGAATTGGGTACCAATGCCTCTAAGCCTCTTAAAAAAATAGAGGCAAAATGATACTTGAGGGACCAGAAGGGGAAAAAGAAGTTAGAAGAAGAATATGTTAATTCAAAGGGGAAGGACTTGAGGTCTCTAGGGAACTTAGGTCTTAGGACCATTTTTTTTTTTTTTTTTTTGAGGACAATGCTATCTTATTCGGTTGTATTTAAATTTACGGTAACATCATAAATTCCTAAAAGTTCAAATTGGGGTTTTCACATAAAAAGCTCAAACTGGGTGATGTTAAAAGGTAATTTATGACAAAATAGATATGGGAAGTTCTACAATCATTGGGTATTTATGAGATTAAATTCACCATTAGATGTAGAATAAGAGTTATCAACCCTTGGATGATTTCAAAAGTTTAAATTATTAGATGATGTGTCAAGGTGTAATTGAATTAAAAATATTGATACAGTACCTAAAAGGGACTGTAGTATTTTTGCCTTATGAAGTGAATTTGAACTCATCTAACAATGGTAAACTATTTATGTAGTAATTTGTAATTGGCTTCTTGAAAATTCCTATTTTTTCTTGTAGTACTTTAAATTGATACTAGTATTAACTATTTAGTCGTGCATTAGCATGAATTTTTTTTTCAATTGTGATTGGTTATCAATTGACACAAGGCACAAATAATTCATGAACAAATTTATAACTTACATATTATTCATATTTATATAAACAAAATTATTGTACTCCAAACATTAAAATACTATATTATTTTTTAGAAATTTTTATACGTAAATTTGTTACAATGTGATAGTATCCATTAAATAGTATAATACAAAAAAAAACATATTTTCTTCGATATAGTAATTTAATTTCTCATGAACATGATTATACACGTAATCATATTAAAAGAGATAAAAAGATTATATCAAATTACCAAATGCAATTATACACCTATTCATAAGTAAAGTTACCATATATGGATAAAAAAGAATAATTCAAGTTTATTAAGAGAGATACAAAAAGATTATATCAAATTACCATATATCATTATTCACCTGCTAATAAGTAAAGTTACCATATATGGATAAAAAAGAATAATTCAAATTTATTAAGAGAGATAAAAGCTGCTGGAAGAGAGAGAAATTATAAGCATAATTGATTGGAAGAGAATTAGATGAAAATGAATGAGTAAACCCAAAGTCAAGTATCCAATTCTCTTTAATTAGGCATGCCACCCATGAGACAGAAATAATTGGAATAAGTAATTTCAAAAGAAAAGAAACTACATTTGTGTCTATATATATATATATATATATATATATATATTATTTCTATTGTAATTTTATGAATAGTATCTTTTTTTTGTTTATGTTTGAACTTTCCAATTTAGTTTGCAGCACCAATCCAAATTTCAAGGTGACTTCTATCTTGTAACACTGGTGATCAATTGCACTGATATGTAAGTAGAATAAAACACTTAACGAGCATAGATAAAAAATATTTGGATATAGATTTTTTTTCAAATATTATCTTACTTATATCATAAACACATTTTCAACCAATTTCTTAATATTTCCAATCACCTTTTTACCTTACATAATCATATCACAAAAAAACTACAATATTATATCAAATAATTTTTCAAATAATTTCCTATCCAAACACACCCATAGTATTTTCTTAATCAAAAATCCTTTCCAAAGCATAATTTTCAAAGCGGAAACTCAAGAATATGAAGACTCGGTTAGCAAAGCCCAATTTGACACCCTCGTTACCAAATTATAAACCTGTGTATTGAACTACATTCAACATGTGCTATCTTGCACTAATAAATATAAAAGCTATAACTTTTTGGTCTAACAAATTTCAATATTTAATGAAGAAGCAAGGATGAAATTTGAACACAAAATGGAGAACATATCAGAGAAATTTAGGGTGAAAAACTCAAATAGTTTTCAACCTAAATATGTAGAGAAATGGAAGGAAATGAGAGCTATTAAAAATTCTTACAATGTCATTTTTTGCCTGCTAATACACATCAAAATATATAAGTAGAAAGATGAACTTGTATAAGTCAAATATTAGTTTTTTTTTCTGTTTTATTCTTTCTAAAAGACAAAAACGAGAAGTATGAACTTTACATGTGGGTGCAAGTATACAGTTTGGGATAGTTCCTTATTAATACTTATAAGCATTTTAGTACATCATGTCACGAAGTAAAATTGTTTCACCAAAAAAAAAAAAAAGGCAACCCTTGCTAGGAATACTTACGTACTATAAAACAAGGAACTTTCAATCTACTTCCCAACTTGACAAAAAAAATATATAGATATATAATAGAATAACTCACAAAATACTTCAAACTGCAATTTGGTGGTAAGACGATTCGCTTGTAATATATTGATCACAAATTCAAGTCATTGATGAGGAAAGTTGGAACCACTATTGATTCTCTTTAATTAAAAAAAAAAACTTAAAAGCTACCAAGAGTAATAGTAACAAGTTGGAGCCACTGTTGATCCTCTTTAGTTAAAAAAAAAAAAAAAAAATTTCAAAGCTGCCAAGAGTAATAGAAACAAATAGTGAAGCACTTGCATAAACACCTCGTTAACATATAAGAATTTAAATCTATTTGTTGAGTGTGTGTTTTCTGTTGTTAAACATAGAATGTGTTTGCAATGCACATTATTATACTTTATTTACACACACTGATTTGCATGTATCATCAACACATTTTTCAATCACCTTTTTATCTCACATACATCACATCAAAAAAGTGCTACAGTATTTTCTTATAAAATTATCTCAAAATCCAAACACACTAATAGTGGTTGTTAGTAGTTCTTATATACCATGTTTTGAGCATACTTTATTTGTAGGCGCTTAGTTGAAAAATGCATTTTTTGTTGATATTAAAAATATTATCTATTCTTTGGTATATTAAAATAACTTGTTGAATTAAAAATATCATGGTTGAAGAAATGTAAGTTTGAAATTCTAATATTAAAAAATGACATAGATTAAGTGGAAGATTAAGTTTTAGAACTTAAAATATAATAAGGGTAAAAATTGGAATCACATATAAGTCACAAAAATTGTAAACACCATAAGCATGCTCAATCTTTATACCTATTATGGATAGACTAGTGGTTAAGGAACATTTTATGTATGTAAGCAATTAAAATTATGGTCATTTGAATTTTTTTGGTGAATAGTTTTTCACTCTAAAAGTTATTTTCTAAAGTTTTTGATGATATGGTAAAAATTTTAATTTTTTGTATAGTGTTTAGTTATTTGATACTTGATTTTGATTATGGGACAAAACTACCTTGAAGCAATTAGTTTTATATTTGAGGCAAAAAATAAATATTTTTGGTAGGGACACTACAAAAAGAAGTTCAAAAGAGGACGAATGTGTACTAACACCACATAGTGATATTCTCATTTTATATATTATCTATATACATAGATGGTACAAATTGTTTATTTGTGAACTATTCTTTAATGCACTACAAATTTATACAAAAATAATAACTTCATGCTTATTTTTATTTATAGAAAATAGTTGGTGTAAGTTTTCTTTACTCTATTTTGGAGAATGCTAGCTGTTAAAGTTATTTTGTCCCTAAAGCTAAGTGTTTTAGACATTTAAGTTGTTAAAAGAGTCCAAACCTTGGGTATTTGTCATTTGAGTTAATTAAATAAAATGAGAGTGCTTAAATCTAATGGTAGTGTGTCAAAATTATTTATTTTTTAGATACTTTTCTAACTTGAATTTCTTTAGTTCTTTTGTTTTCCCTTCTAAGTCCTAACTTGCAAATAAGGCAAGCATCAAAATGTCATTTCTTACCTTTAACTTTATCATGTTCTTATATTCTTCTTTTTGTCAATCCACAATGTCAATTCCTTGTGCTACTACCTAGAGGCGTGTAGGGGGGGGGGGGGGGAAACCTAGAGGCACTTCTAAGGTTCCAAACCCAAAGTCTATACTAGATGTAAAGCTTTTGAGGAGTTCCTTCTGCTAAGAACTGGAGGCACTCGTAACCCTCCAAATCTCGAATCTATCATGTACACAAAGATTAAAAGAAACTCTTACCGTTGGCTTCTATCTCATCTTTTGAATCATAGTTTTCCTTTCATTAAATAAATTTTACACTAGATCCACTACAATAAAGTGATTAGCTCATAATAACTCTTAAGTTCTAATAACTCACATTTCTTAACCTAAAAAATGTGACAAAAAAAATTAGAAAAATATTATTATTTGCACTACATATTTTGTTATTTACACTTCCATTATTTGTTCTATCATATAGTCTAATCAATGAAAATTATATAATAAAAATGATAGTAGGAGTGCAAATAATAAGAAGCGAGTGTAAATAACATTTTCCAAAATTATCCTCCTTTTTTCTATTCCACTCATTTACATTTTACAAAAGGGTATTCCAACTAGTTTCGATTGTGTTGGATGGCCAATTTGTCCATTTATAGCTGCTGAGCTGTTCCACTTTCTCTCCCACTCAGCACCACCGCCACTCTTCCACTTTTCCGCAACGAGTCCAATAAAAGGGACCAAAAACACTCGCAAAGAAGTAAAGAAAGCCCACAATTTCACCACCCTTTACACCAGCATCACTTTCCTACACATTAATCCTACAAACTGCCTCTGATTAATTGGTTTTTTCATCTCTCCAATATACGCAGAAACAAAACTTCAACAGCTTGTGGTTCTATTTTATAGCATCAAAAAGCAAGAAAAAGCTGGTACAGAAAGCTATAAGTTGAGTGGAAATTTGATTGTCTTGATTCTGTCTCACTCTGTCTTCTTGGTGAGGATTTTGGAAGTTGGTAGAGTTGGTTTGGAGTGATAAAGATGGAGGACAGTGGAATGGTAAACAATGTTGCTGCAGCTTTAGCCGCAGCCCTGGACTGGAGGTCCTCTGGGGATGCTCGGAAAGCTGCCTATTCCTACTTAGAATCTGTAAGTTATCAAAAGGGATTAATCAGTATTCTCAATCAATCATGTATATGCAGTCACTTCTAGTTATTGGTTTTTTTTCTGGAATTTTGAAAAGAGAAAACAAAGGCAAAATGGTGTAATTTGCAATTGTGGATTTTTTTTTTTTGTTTTGGAAAGTTGGAGATTGAGTTCTCTAGAATGTCATTCCAGGGTGCAAGAAACCTTGGAATTTTTATGATTTTTTTGGGGGTTTTTCCTTTTCTTGCATTTCTTATAATTTCCTTTTTCTGTTTTTTTTTTTTTGTGATTTTTAAGTTGAAGTGTAGAGTGGTATCACATGTAGCGGAGATTACTGAGAATTTGACTGATGATCATTTTTTTTTGCTTTTTCCTTTTATTTTTCCTTCTGGTAGTTAAGTTGAATTACCATGCTGGTTCTGAGGGAATTGATTCATTAGTGAGTTCTACGAATATTTTTATCGGTAAGTAAAATTGTTTCTTGTTCTGTTAAGAGGTTAAGAAGTTGGAAATTAATAAAGTCAAAAGAGAAGCATCCTCGTTTTCTCTATTTTATTAGTTTTTGCAACATGGTTAGTGCGCCCTATAAGAGGAGGAAGCGAGAATGTTAGGTTTTTCTCTAAATGCTTTGCCATTCCCCACATTTTTGGGCAAGCTGTGGAAAATGCACATTTTATGTTTGGTCGGTTCAATTATTATGTTAGGTATGCTAGGTGTTAATGCATATTGTCTTGAAAAGGAATTAAAAAGGGAAAGGAATTAGTTCTCATAGTTCCATTAAGCGTCATTGAACCTACTGAATCTGTCTTAATAAGGCATTTGAAAAAAATGATTTAAATGTGAGGGGTATCCCCCCCAACCCTCCCCTTCTTTTCTCATGTCCCCTTAATGATGGGAATGGTTGGGTATTTGGCCACCATGTTTAGAATCTTTTCAGAATTCTAGATTTTATTAATCCATAGCTACCTCTACGAATGCCTTAAACTGGAATCAAGGCCTTGACTGATTTTAGCTTAAATGGCTTCAAGAAAGCATGGGAAGCAGTTCACTTCAAATGATAAGTGTTGTTTGATGTAAGAATTCTGGTTACAATAGCATTGAAGTTCCCATTGTGCTGGTTGACTGTTTCTGTTTTTGCACTTAGTTCTTATCTGTGTAAGCTAGCATATTATTACTCTACACCCTATTTTGCATTTTAAGACATCATTTGAATTCTTTTTCTGGTTTTGGTTCAGATTCAGTAAGGAAAATTACTTGAATGCTGGATTTCAGCAGCCTAATCATTGGCATGTCAGCTGTCTTCAGCATGACTTCTCAGTTGCAAATTCATTACAGTTCAAAATCACTTCAGACAAGTATATTATCTTTACATTTGTTGAGGAAGAAGGATATATGCTTTGTCCTCAGTTATTAGGTTTTGATCTCAATATTGAAAGATAACACCATAGAGGTTTCTTCACACTTGGTATTCTGCAGAGTTCATCGTTGAAACATAACAGTATATTAAGATTTGAGTTATTTGAGGCTGGAAGTTTGTAATAATGTCCAAGGGGATTAAGATTTGTTCCATTTGCTGGCACCGGTGGCTTCTAAGGTTGGTTGACAGAGAGGGAAGGAAAATCTGCTGAGAGATTTAGTAACTTTTAGTATCTTTCGGACAAGATGGATAGAGGATGTGGGAGACGGGGAAGATGGTGGTAGGAAACAAAAATCCATGAGCTAAAAGTAACTATTTTGAAAACTGAAAGAGAACAAATGATATTCAGGAGTGCAAATCATGTTCTTAGCTGGATTAAACAAAAGATGGCTCATGGAATTCTTAGAACGAAAGGATGCTGTTGGTGATTGCTTATGTTCTTGTTCTTTTGCTTTTAGCTCTGTATGCTTGATACAGCTCAATGTGCATGTGATATTACATTGAGTGAAGCCGTCCTATTAAGGAGACCGAACAATCGAATGTTTCAAAACTGCATGGAGGTTTTTTATTTTGTTTTGCACTATATTTCTTGGCTATTCTATTTAAAGTTTAATATCATTTGGATGTAGCTACCTCTACTACTTTGAATGCCCTAAACCAAACTCAAGCCCTTGACTATTTTAGCTTAAGATGCTGTCAAGTGAGCAGATGAGGCAGTTCATTGTAAATGATAAGTGCTCTTTAATGTGAGATTTCCTGTTACTGTTGAAGTTAATATATGCTGTTGGACTGCTTCATTTTGGGAAGTAATTAAATTTGTATATTTGGAAGCTAGATTCCTAATATAAACTCTATTTTGCATTTTTAAGAGCTGTCTTAAATGGTCCTCTCTCTGTTTTGGCTAAGTTTCCATTAGGGGAAATTTCTTGATACTAAATATTGACATCTCAATTCTCTTCAGCATGATTCTCAGATGCAAATTTTAATTTAAATCATTCTGGCAGGCAATATATTTTTGTCAAGCATTCAGAATTGGAACATAACACCATGGAGTTTTCTTTTTATTTTGTGTTCTGCAGAGTTTGTTGAGTAATACTTCTTTAATTCAATTATCGCAGACTCGAAGTATGCATACGATCCCTTTGCACTGCTTGTGTTTTCTATATTCTATACTGCAGCTTGTACTTAGTCTGGATGCATTTGTTTGATCCTTCCGTAGTCCAATAACTAACTTAGGTATTTATTAAGAATTGGGAAAGTAACTAGCATTTTGAATTCAGTCAACAGAATTTTCATTATAGACATTTTTCCCCTTTGTTTGATCTAAAAGCGACTATTTGGAAAACTAACGGAGAACAAACGAGACTTCAGATTGCAAATCATTGTGCAGGCAGGGGAAGATTAGAGGTGGTTCGTGGAAGTCTTAGAAAGAAAGAATTGTGTCATGCACACTGTAGGACTTTCCTTTTTTCCCTGCATTAATACTCAGTGCTATTAAGGCACTGTTCTGGTGATTGCTTCTGTTCTTGTTTCTTTTGCTTTTAGTTCTGTGTGCTTGATACAGCTCGAAGTACATGTGATATGACTCTGTGTGTTCTCTAATGTCAGCTTTTCCTTATAAAATGAGTGAATGTATATAAATAAAGCTGAAGATATTCTGCTTTCAGCTTCCACTTTTCCTTGATGTATGGTTTGACATCCTCACTTTTATTGGATACAGATTTGTACTTGTTGTAGAAGCTTTTTATTCCTCTATAGACCAAGCTCTTTAGTGATATTTTTGGTGGAAAAAGTTGCTGGATTCGTATGCTCAATTGCTCAGAACTATTTCTGTCTTTAGCTCATGCAACTTTGTCAACTAACTGACACTATGGATTCATACCAATTAAGTTCTAATCCATTATAATTTTATGTACTATTTTCGAGGTGATACACAATTATCTTGAATATTCATGTGTCTCTTTGTTCTCTTTTTTTTTGGGTCTTATCATTATTCATGTGCAGCTTTTATAAACTTCAAAGATGAGTGTGGGCATAACAACAAATTGATCAATGTGAAGTTGTGAAATAGCTGTAAAATATTTTCACATGATTATTTTGCAAGCAAAAAAGCATCTTAGTATATTAATAAGTATTTGACTTGACAGTCTTTCCATCTTGTTTCACAGGTAAAAGCAGGCGATATACGTCATTTAGCAAATGCATCATTTACTCTAGTTAAGAAGGACTGGTCTTCTGAAATTCGGCTGCAGGCTTTTAAAATGCTCCAGGTCTCATTCTCATACTTATATATGCATCATCTTCTTTGAAAATAAAATGCAGGCTTTTTAAATGCTCTAGGTCTCATTCTCATACCTGTATATGCACCATCTTCTTTGAAAATAAAAAAAAAGTTTAGAATCTATACTAAGTATCTGTTCTTCTTACACCCTAAGGAATGATCAAGAGGGAGGGAGACTGAAAGTTTCTTTGAGGCTCTTTTCTTCTAATGATTTAGATTATCTAATTTATTCTCTTGCGTTTTTAACCAGTTGACTTTGTTTACTTGAAAATTTTATTTCAGTCAGTGTTTTAGAATTTCAATATGCAAGAGACAGCAAAACTGGTGGAAGATTTTTGCTTCCAGGTTAAGAAGATATTAGCAATACCTCACACCTTTGGTTTTAGAGGTACCGACTTTGGAATCTTAAAGCAGTTAACTATGTGGTTATAATTGGGTAAAGGCTGTGTGAGTATCCTCTCCACCGTTCATCCCTCTTAACCTGCTAAAAAGTAGGATGTATTCTTGACTGATGGAAAGTAGTTGGAATTTTAATTTCGGTCAGTTCTTTATTTATAGTTCCTTTAGCCCTTGTTTTTAAGAAACCAGGAGGGTCTTGCTGTTTTATATCCCTTTCTTTTGATAAAATTAGAGCTAGCTGGGTTTGGTGAAAATGTTACAAAATATTAAGAAATCCACAAGAACACACACTTGTAATGGCATAACGAGCCCTCCTGCTAGTCAGCCAACAATCTCACATGATTTAGAAGTGAACTCACACAAAGAAAACTTAGGATCAGAGTGAATAAGAACATGCACAATTACAGCCGAAGAAGATACGAATTTCCTGTCAACGGATAATGCTGTGATGGATTCCACAAAAACAATAGTACGTATTGGGCATCAGACGTTTATTACCCATTTTGAAACTTTAGAAGAGTTAATTTTAAATTATAGGGCTCCTATATTCTCATTTATGTATTTTAAAAGGTTTTCGCCATGTTTGTAGACATGGTGATGACTGAATAAATTATGCTAGAGCCTCAATCTGCCAGATCTGGATGATAAGACTTTTTAATGATTTATGGAATGCATCTGAATTCAAATATCTGCATCAACTACCAATACCCAAGTTGATAGACAAAACCCAGCTTACTTTGTGGTTGTGACTGTGGTTGGCTAGGCTTGTCAACAACTTTGGGCATACTAGAATATACCAAAATGATTTTTGCTTCTGGGCACATTGTGTGGTTATACTTGGGCTGGTCTGCTTCAAGGATGCCATGCCTTAGTTTTGGAGGAGAAGTGTTAATGGTGAGAAGTCCCACTTTGGGAAGAGAACAGTTTTTCTGTGGCTACCAGAGCCAGCATAATATTGTAAAAGAACTTGAGATATTTATTTTGTCAAGTGAGGCTGGTAGATACCTCAAATAGTGCTTGTCTTTTGGTGGATCATAGTTGTATTATCAGGCTCACTTGGCTTATGGCATGCAAAGTATTTCCCTTCTGTGCATTTGTCCTTGACAGATGTTAATTAATAACAGAGTCTTCTGGATTTTTTTTGCCTTCATCAGCATCTCAGTTGTTGCAATTTATAAGCAAGTCTTGTCATCTTTGTTTGAATAAGGTAATCTAACATATTTAGAATGTGAAAACCAAATTGTAGCTTCTCTTATTTCAGGGGTCAAGCAAAGTTGTTCTGGTATAAAGAAAACCTTCATTTCAAGTTTATACATTGATTAACTTAAAGGCATGTATGAACTGACTACCGTGGGAATATGGTTTTAATTTTGGTTCATTCTTTTTGCTTCCAGTTCAGAAGTGTTTGTTTATTTACAAGAGCTTTTAGAAGTCTAAAAAATATAAAAGAACAATAGGAAAGGACTAGATCCCTAACAAGATCTTATTCATAATTATTCGGTACAAAAAAAGGGACAAAAACTTTCTCCAAGATAACGCTAAAGTATGACCTTTTGGGAGGTTTCTTTGTGAAATACCATTGCAGTTGTATCAGGCTTGACTAAACTCTGCAAAGTTGGACTATCTGCATCTGACTGTTAATGTTATCCTACTTGAAGCATTTGGTGCGATTACGTTGGGATGAACTCAATCCTACAGAAAAAAGGAACTTTGCTAAAATGGCAGTTGATTTGATGTCTGAAATGGCAAATCCTTCTGAAGAGTGGGCCTTGAAGAGTCAGACTGCTGCTCTTGTTGCTGAGGTGTTAATTTAGTTTCTATGTTTCATTTTTACAAATTGATGGTAAATCTTTCACGAATGTTGGAGTTACTTGCTGTACTTGTTGCAGGTAGTCAGGAGAGAAGGAGTGAGTCTTTGGCAGGAGCTTCTTCCATCTTTAATTTCTCTGTCCAATCAGGGTCCTACCCAAGTAAACTTCATATTTTCCTGTTTAGTGCTTTAGTTTATTCTGGCACTTCATTTTTCTATACTCTATGATATGGATCACAAAGAGGAATATTATTTTCATTGCAGGCAGAGATAGTGTCAATGATGCTAAGGTGGCTTCCTGAAGATGTAATGGTTCATAATGAAGATTTGGAAGGTCTGTTACAGAACACCATGAGATACTTGTTTTACTTTGAGCTCATTTTAGAGTGAATATCATTTTTCTTGATGGAAGAAACTCCTTTTGGTCTGCACTAGTATTACATAATAGGGAAACCAAATTTTGGGTTATTTTAGTTCTTCTACCACTTCTTTGCTTACTTTTCTAAGCCACTTGTTTCGAATGTCAATAAATTTGTGGTTGCTTCCTTCTTAGTTACTTTTCTAAGCCACTTGTTTCGAATGTCAATAAATTTATTCTTGCTTCCTTGTTAGTTTGTCTCCTAATTCTAAAGTTCAGTTCTGATATCTTAGGTGATAGGCGTAGGCTGTTATTACGTGGGCTTACCGAGTCCTTGCCCGACATATTACCTCTATTGTACAGCGTAAGTTTCGGCTGGGTTTGTTTTGATGCTGAGATGTTTCGATTAATGAAAAGATCTGATGCCTCGTTTAATAATTAGTTACTGGAGAGGCATTTTGGTGCTGCACTGGCTGAAGCAAGCAGGCAGCAGTCGGACATTGTGAAACAGCATGCAGCAACTGTAACAGCTACTCTAAATGCTGTTAATGCATATGCTGAGTGGGCTCCCTTGCCTGATCTTGCGAAATATGGAATAATCCATGCTTAGGATCTCTCTTATCTCTCTCTCTATCTCTCTTCACCCTTTTTCTAAGATTTGAATCTTTTTGAGAGTTTAATTTTTCTTCTTCCAAACAGCTGTGGTTTTTTACTCTCTTCTCCTGACTTTCGTCTTCATGCATGCGAGTTTTTCAAGTTTGTCTCCCCAAGGTATGCTTTAAATAAAGAAGCACATTATATTCTGAAAAGACACAAATCTAAAAATTCAAAATGCTTACAACTAGCATTGTCAATTCTGGGTGGCAGAAAACGACCTATTGATGGCACTTCTGAATTTGATTCAGCTATGGGTCAGATCTTCCAGGTCTTGATGCATGTTTCAAGAGATTTCTTGGCCAAATCTAGCTCCAGTATTGCTATGGATGAGAGTGAATTTGAGTTTGCAGAATATATCACTGAAAGTATGGTCTTTTTGGGGTCTTCAAACTTGCAGTCTGTTGCTGGTGATGCCGGAATTGTTTCCTCTTATCTTCAACAGGTGGTTTTTTGCCTTGATGAATAATTGAAACATAGAGGGTTAGATGGGAAAAAATATGATAGGGTGAGTTCAAAAGTATGAGTAGTTTCGTAACTTTTTTGCTGCTTGTAAGCATTTTGGATTAAAAATTATTATATGAGTGGTACAACCATAACTGATGTGAGCATATGGATCCATTGACAACATCAAAGCATGTGTTTTATTTTTTAAGAGGTGATATATGCTCATGCTTCTGTTTGTTAGTCTTTGGAAATAGACCCTTTCCCTGGAAGAATTCAACTTGAAAAAGGATTAAAATTTGTAACTTCGAAATATTACTTCAATAAGTAGATGGATTATTAGAAATTGAATCTTGACATGGAGTTTAGTTTTGTCTCATTTCTATTTGTAAAACTGTTGAACATGGAAACCACAGGACATTAGGGTTCCAGGTTATTCGTATTTTCAGCTTAAAGTTCATTCACCCTTAACATCAAAGATTAAAACGTTTCTTGCATATTTTAAGAAATGGATCCCCTGTTTTGGAAATCCTCTCTGCTGTCTTTGCTGGAGTAGATACTTGATATGAATGTGATATGCTACCTTGAGCTTTGCATCATGTGAAACTTGGGATCATAAATACTCTAGAGTCTGTGCCTTGAAAATCAAGCAAGTAGGTAGAATGGATTTCAGATTGGTTACTGTCTTCTCATAATAAACAATGACATCATATAGATTGTCATCCAGTTTTTGTATAAACAGAAGTCATTACTTCAGCCAGCAAACATATTGTACTTCACCCTTCTTATGGTAGCGTAAAACAGTCAACTTTACCGGCCATGGCGCAATTGGCAAATGATTGTATGTTATGATGCTTAGTTGACTTTGCTGGACTCATTTTCCTGTTTTCCTTAGCTCTAATGATATGTCAGGTAAGAAAAATGTGACACAAAAAATTTTTTTGGGTCATAATTCTTGATTTGATTTGCTACAAAATAGACACAGATTGCTACCTTGAGAACTGATGCTTGCTCCATATGGTACCAAATAGAGAGGCAATATATGAGAGAGGAAAGATGTGGTTCTTTAGTCAATCAAAGGATGCTTTGAGTAATTATGTGTTGTGAGGTAGTCTTTTTCTTATGCTGGTGTAAAAATCTGGATTGGTAAGCTTCCAAAGGTGGATATAGCAGTTGAGTTCTACTTCAATCACTAAGGAAAGTTGCTCAGACTTTTATGTCATGAAGCAGATGTTGCCTATTGGCATAATATTCTGCTTGTTTGTTGACATAAATAGTGCAAATATTTTGTGTCATTGTTATATGCTGGAGTGCTTTGGCAAATTTGTTTTCTGCCTTTAACACACGGTGAATCACATATTGTTTTCAGATGCTGGGATTCTTCCAACACTGTAAACTAGCACTACACTGCCAGTCTCTGCTCTTTTGGCTGGTATGATCTCTGGAATAATATTTTAGAAATATCTGAATATGCAATCATAGGTGACCAGGAACACTTCTTTCATGCTTTCATTGTATGATTAGGCTTTGATGAGGGATTTGGTGTCCAAGTCAAAGATTTTTCCCACCGACAATACAGTTGAAAAGAGTAATTCAAGTTCTGGGCAAGCTGATATTGAGAAGAAAAAGATTCTAGCTTTTGTTAATGATGACATCTTTAATGCAATACTGGACGCATCTTTTCAGCGCATGCTGAAGAAAGAAAAGGTTCATCCTCACTCAGCTTTTCTGGTTGGGACACTGGAGTTGTGGAGTGACGACTTTGAGGGCAAAGGAGATTTTGGCCAGTACCGTTCACGACTTGTATGCATTCCTGTTTCATCTTCCAAATACATTTGATTCATCAACTTTCTTTGACACCCATTTTACCTTCTTCTGCCTAACCTGAGATTATTACCAATCCATGTACCTACTGGCTACTGGTGCCAAATTTATGTACATTTGAACTTTATATTTATCATGTTGTCATCATGTCTTAACGGTATTTCTGTGCAGTTGGAGCTGATCCGATTTGTTGCATCTGAGAAGCCCCTTATAGCTGCCACTAAGATTTCTGAGAGAATAAATGCTATTGTTAAGAGTCTCTTACTTGCCCCAACGCCTGCCCAGGTTTGCGTTTAGAGACCTTTCTTCCATTTTTACGTCAGTTGAATAACTCCAAAACATGTCAGCTTCAGATATGATATTTGCTTGGAAGCCAAGTAGTCTTTATACTCATCTTCACAAGACTGACTATTTCAATATTTAGGAATTGGCTACGATGGAAAGCATGCAGCTGCCTCTAGAAAATGTTGCGATTGCAGTTTTTGATGGATCAAATGATTTTGGAAGGATGCCCTCTGAAGTTCAACTTGCTTTGTGCAGGATATTTGAAGGTATTGGAATGACTTTCTTATAATATGCAAAGCTTTTAGTACCTTTTGATGTGATGATGAAAGTTGAATCACTTTGAACTAAAGGTCTACTCCAGCAACTTCTATCTTTGAAATGGATTGAGCCTGCCCTTGTTCAAGTTCTTGGACGCTACTTGGATGCTTTGGGTCCCTTCCTGAAGCACCATCCAGATGCAGCCGGCACTGTAATCAATAAACTCTTCGAGCTTTTGACCTCTCTACCACTTATTGTCAAGGTTGTTTTTAGAGACTTATTTGCAGTTGGACACCTTGAAGATAACTTTGTTTGACATGCTTTACAAAAACATTTGTTGGCAGGATCCTTCAGTGAGTGCCGCTCGGCATGCGAGGTTGCAGATATGCACGTCATTTATTCGAATAGCCAAGGCTGCTGACAAAAGCCTCCTTCCACATATGAAGGTAACTCAATTTCTCTCTGGCCTTCAAACAGATGATAAGGCATGACAGATTTGGGAGTCAATTGCATCTTCCCATTGAAGGCCATGAATGCATTGGTTAATTTTGACCTTACTTGAATGACACTATTCTTGTTTAGGGTGAACTAGTGAACATAAAAAATTTGGGAGATGGTTTACCAAGAGCTTATGCAGTACCCATTTCTTTCTGAGGATAAGAATGTAAGAAGCTGTTATGTACTAGACAAAGGGGATCTATTTTTAACTTTTTCTGTAGGCCTTCCTTGTATGCGTGCTTCTTCTCTTCTTCAGCTTTGACTGTGATCTCATCTCTTTCATAGAACTGTAAAATACATCTCATGACAAAATCTACACCCTTTTCCATTTCACACTTGACTGACTGAATTATGATATCATGAGCCATCTGGTTGTAGTGCTGGTAGTTGAGACAGTTGTTGCCGTTGCAGCTAAATGGTTTTACAAAGGCATCTCTAAAGTTTTTCCATACAGTGCTAACTTTTACTCAGGTACTTTAGGCATCATATTTGGTTTTTCATGCAAGGTAACTCGTAGTTATCGGCATACCATAGGTCTTGAGTGCTTGCTTTTGTCCTCAAAAGTATCTCTTGTAGTTTTGCATGAGATATACAAATGCCAAGTCTTCAGTGTAATGCTTCTTCTCGTGGTACTGATGCTTGAGTACATTGGAGTCAAACATTAAGCAATCTTTCCTCATTGAAAAATGCTAATCATCTCCCATTGGACTGTATAATTACGAATGTCCTTCTTGAGGTTTCTGACATGACACCACCTTTAATATAGGATTTGCCATCATTGCTAATACTGTTGATGAAGTAATTACATTTTTTTTTCAGGAGAGAGGTGAGTTCATTGCAAGTGACAAAATAGATTAATTTCAAAAAATTGTTAAATGTGGCTAGTCAAATCATTCAAAAAACCTCCTTGGAGTCTTTATAATCATAATAATCTTCCATGCAAGGAAATTGTAGTTTTATTTAACTTATTCCTTCTACCATGTTGGTAAGAAAGAACATGCTTTGTTCTATATACAAGTTTTTAGGGCTAAAGTGGCTTGTTGCTGTACACCTACTTTTCAGTTTTTCATTAGAAATTCCAGTGCCTTTGTGCTACCTCTCTTGGACTCTTTTGTTTTTTCTACCGGAGAAAAGAAAAGAAGAGATGAAGTTAGGAAGGTTAATGTTCTGATTCAGGTAAGTGTAAAAACTAGGTAAAACATAGAAGTTAGGAAGGATGTTTGTAAGCTGTAGTGTTGGCTCCACTATGGATAAGCATTAAGGGTATTACTATGAATATGCCTTATTGTATATGTTTAATGACTTTAAGATGTTGAACTGACTGCTCTTTCCATATCCTTCAACTTCATGTTTTCCAAAAATGCACTTAGTTAACGTCTTCTATTGTATTTTGCAGGGGATTGCAGACACAATGGCATATCTGCAGAAGGAGGGTACTTTGCTTCGAGGAGAGCATAACCTTCTAGCTGAAGCATTTCTGATCATGGCTGCTTCTGCGGGGTATTAACTTAATTTGGGGCCCTATTTATTTTGTTATCCTTGACTGTTTGAGATTTGGTACTTAATGGTACTATTTTGTAAATCCCATGATGCAGAGTTCAACAGCAGCAACAAGTGTTGGCATGGTTGCTTGAACCTTTGAGTAAACAGTGGACACAGGTAGAGTGGCAGGAAGCATATCTGTCTGAACCTGCAGGCTTAGTCCGTCTCTGTGCAGAGACATCATTTATGTGGTCGCTCTTCCACACAGTGACTTTCTTTGAGAGGGCACTGAAGAGAAGCGGTGTCAGAAAAGGCAATTTCAACTTGCAAAATATTTCAACTGCTTTGCATCCAATGGCTTCTCATATATCATGGATGTTGCCTCCTCTCCTTAAAGTAAGCATGTTATGTTAACTGGCTTTTTCCTATATACGCTTTCTTTGTTTATGTAGGAAAAAAAAAATTGTCATGAAACTGGTGTAATTGTCCATTCCAAGATTTTTATTTTCTTGACTTTAATACCTAAGTCACCTTTCAAATTTCTGTCTTAGCTGCTGCGTGCTGTACATTCTCTTTGGTCTCCATCTGTTGCTCAAGCATTACCTGCAGAAGTAAAAGGAGCAATGATCATGAGTGATGTTGAAAGAACCAGTCTTCTTGGCGAAGGGAGTCTTAGATTGCCTAGAAGTGCTTTAACATTTTCTGATGGCTCTCAGCTTGATATGCACAAGGAAGGCCATTCAGAGCCCACTGAGATAGATATAAGGAATTGGCTGAAAGGTATCAGGGACAGTGGGTATGTTCACTAATCTTCTGAAACAATGACCTTTGCAATGTAACTGGTATATAAGATCTCAGTAGTTCATTCGGATTGCAATTTACCTTTTAACGACAACTGATTCACTCTAAGTACATAAGAACCTTATTTTTTCACTTTTCTGCTTCCTCACTTTATAGTATCACTGAGAGTCTTTACTGAAGCTTAGGCACTTAAGCCATTGACTGCTTCTCTTACTAATTCTTTAAACTTCACCTACTAATTCTTTAAAATACAACCATTTATCGTATGCCGGTAACATAGTTGCATGATCCTTGTGGTTATCTGTCATGAGCTATATTTTGACATCTTATTATTGAGGACATCCATCCAGTATATCACGTTACACATTAGTAGAAGAGGTGTCTAATGCACCCCTTTTTGTGTTAATAATACCTTAATTACTTGGGAATTCTAGAAACAATGGGGGTTTTCATTTTTTGGAATCACAGTATCTTCTTATGTGATAACATTTCTCACTATTTTTGGCATATAACTTCTAATAACATTTGCATTAAGATTGTGGACATTGAGACTGTGCTAAAAAGAAACAGTGTGTGAAAAATGTTTAGTTGTTATTTGAAAAGTGCTTTTTACTGCTGCTTAAAAGGATGGAGCTATGCAAGTTTTCCAATTGTTGGATGGAATTTGGTTTACTCGTATCTATGCCTGCTGTATTAATGCAGTTTCTGGCTCTAGGTATAACGTTCTTGGTTTGTCAGCAACAGTTGAAGATTCTTTTTTCAAATATTTGGACTCCGATTCCATTGCTTTAGCATTGATGGAAAATATACAATCAATGGAGTTCAGGCATATACGGCAGCTTGTTCACTCAAGTATCATTCCATTAGTGAGGTGCTGTCCTTCAGATTTGTGGGAGGGATGGATGGAAAAGCTTCTGCATCCGTTACTTTTCCATAGTCAGCGGGCACTTAGCAGCTCATGGTCTAGTTTATTGCAGGAAGGTCATGCAAAGGTTCCAGATCTCCATGGTATACCAGCAGGGTCAGACTTAAAAGTGGAAGTAATGGAGGAAAAGCTTCTTCGAGATCTGACTCGTGAGATTTGTTCACTCCTTTCTGTTCTTGCTTCATCAGGACTCAATTCTGGGCTTCCTTCTCTGGAACAGTCTGGGCAGGTTGCCCGAGTTGATGTATCTAATCTTAAAGGTTTAGATGCATTCGTCTCAAGCTCTATGGTTGGGTAAGCATGAAGCATAGTTTTTTTAAGAAAAGTTGCTTTGTGTTTTTTGTTTTTATGGGGTTTAGGCTACATGTTATTCTTTGAGCTCTTACTTTTTTCTCTGAAAATTCTGATTTATTTTCAGGTTTTTGTTGAACCACAAAAGCCTTGCTCTGCCTGCTTTGCAGATCAGTTTGGAGGCTTTTAGATGGACAGATGCTGAAGCTGTCACAAAAGTTGCCTTCTTCTGCGGAGCCGTCGTTCTTCTTTCAATTGTAACCAATAACGCAGACATTCAAGAGTTTGTTTGTAAACATTTATTTTCTGCAATCATCCAAGGATTGGCCCTTGAATCCAATGCCATAATCAATGCTGACCTAGTTGGTCTCTGTCGCGAAATCTTCATTTATCTCTCTGATAGAGACCCTGCTCCTAGGGAGGTGAGATTTATTTCCATGCATCTAATGTGTTTGTATCTAGTATTGAGAGTCTAAACAACTTCCTGTCTTAACTTTAAGTGTTTCTGGCTAATTTGTTAAACATATTTGCTTGGATACAGATTTTGCTTTCTCTTCCTTGCATTACCCAACAAGATTTTCTTGCTTTTCAAGAAGCCTTGTCAAAAACAAGTAGTCCCAAGGAGCAGAAGCAGCATATGAAGAGCTTCCTGTTATTAGCTACTGGAAACCAGTTAAAAGCACTAGCTTCTCAGAAAAGTGCAACTGTCATTTCCAATGTTTCAGGTAAGATCACTTTACACATTGGTTCTTTCTCTATTTGCTTCAGTAGTAAATCTTCATGACCTTTGTTTGAACAAATTAATGTGGCCTGCACACAAACCTGCAAGGGGAGGATGAGATAAGTGTTCACTCGGTTAATGTTTACAATTTTTTACCCTGGTCCTTCACTTGGGAGCAATCTATTCTTCTGTGATTTGGTTAGCTGTAGTTGTACATGAATTTAGCCTTAGGTAGGTTGAAAGCAGCCTTGAGATTCTTTGGTATGTTTAAGAGTTGAGTTTCCAACACACTGTAGTTCAATAATCCAATGGCTTCACAGTCATTCTAGTTTTAGTCATATATGGGGCAAGACTCCCATTAACATTGAAAGAAAGGCTGTTATTCTATTGCAGAAGTATTTAATCAACTTCCTATTTCTGGCGCACATAGTTGATTACACTAAAAAGCTTGGTACAAATTCTTACATTTTGCTGATGCTTCGGCACGCCCATTCCAGAGGTGTGGTTGAGAGTTAGATTTTGGCAACACAATTATCTTAAGCTATAACTTGTATGTTCAGGGAGACCTCGCAATTTGGGTCCTGCTCCAGAATCCAACCTCACTGATGGGGGGGATGCTATTGGATTGGCTGCAATTATGTAGGAGAATTTTTGGACGCGCGAGATTCTGTACAGAGACGAGTAAACTAACTAGAAAATCATACACCAGTCCTGCTGCAGCTGGAAAGCTGGCCTTTGTTTTTGCTCAAGAGGTCTACTGATCCCCTTTAAATTTGTCTCGACAAAAGCTTAATCTCAGCTTGCTATTGGTAGATTATACCATTTAAATTCCAATATCATGTAGTTGCTTTGTGTATAAATATGCTGACAGTGTAAGTACTTGTGCAAGTTTGATTACTGATGCACAAAAGGGAATGCCTATTGCAAGTTGCATGAACAGCTAGCCATTGAAACATCAATGTTGGAGGACTTGCTCATTGTTACAATCATCAGGAGAAAACAGTAAGCTTGAACCGTATAAAATGAAGCTAATTGTCCGTAGTTGTACAGAATGATGTCGGTTGAGTCATGTTTAACTTGCTAAGCATCAGCTATTTTTAATATGCCGTTCAGTTCAGGTAGTATGTGCCAGGTTTACTAGACAGCAAGACTGTTTATGCATTATGCTACTGGCCATTCATATTGTTTAAAAATTTTACCTTTCAGGAGATCAAATCTACCAAAATCAGAAAATCAACCAAACTGCGTGGTAGATGTTGAGTCAGTGAATCATGTGAGAATTTTTTACCAGCCATTTTCATCTCAATTTGGTTTTGGAATTCTGTTTTGTTCCCCCCGTTTCTTTATTCGGGCAAACAAATGAAGCTTTTCTTTGAGCTCAAACAAATAAATCCAAGTTGGAATATAGGTTGAGCTACACAATTTTTCCTTGCCAAAAAAAAAAAAAAAAGAGTATATTATTGGGTTTGAAACAAGGGATCATCCAAGTTTACCCTCTAAACTGACCTACTTAGACGTGGCATAATGGTCATAGTGCCGTCTCTAGATGACAACGTTTTCTCTTGTCAGTCGGATGGTATGTATTTAATATGAAAAGTTCTGTTTAGTTTTATCATTGTTTTATTCCATAACAAACAATTACATGACAGAAAACTATTGGTTAGGAAAAAGAATTTTGTTTGGTTAGTTATCATCTACGGTTAGTAGTTTTAGCATCCTTTTCTACAATCAGTCACTGATTACATTCAAATTTGAAATTTTCCTGAGCCACAAAAGAGAATTATTATGGGGTTGTTTGCATAATTTATTCCAATTATGGGGTTGTTTCGGCTTCTATTCAAAACTAAGGAACCATTTTTAGGTCATGATATTTGCCAAGGAACAATTAAACCCATTCAAAGAGCCTTAAAATTTGCAAACAAATTCCCAGATAAAAATCAGTTACAAAGATTTTTAGAATGTCTAAATTATGTGTCAGGCATTTTATCAAAGTTAAGAAAATTGTGTGCACCATTATTTCAAAGGTTACAACAGAACCCTCTAGCATATTCAGATCAACATACCCATGTAGTTCGCATATTTCAATTAAAAATCATTGTGATGTTTAGGGATACCACATCCTTGTGTATTTATGATAGTCAAGACAGATGCATCAGAATTAAGATATGGAAGAATATTAAAATAAAAGATAGAATCATCTCATAAACAGTTAGTAAGATTTCATTCTGGAATTTGGTCGGATTCTCAAAGGAATTGTTCTACTATTAAAAAGGAAATTTTGTCCATAGAAATTTGCATTTCAAAATTTCAAGATGATTTATATAATAAAAAAGTTCTTTTAAGAATTGATTGTAAATTAGCAAAAGAAATTTTATAAAAGGAACTTCAAAATATAGTTTCAAAACAAATTTTGACGAGATGGCAAACTATTCTATTAGTATTCGGATTTGAAACAGAACTCATAAGGGGAAAAAATAATTCTCTTCTAGACTTTTTAACGAGAGAATTTGTATAGGGAAATGGATTCAAAGGACGATCTAATTACTCAACTTAGATTTCATTACAATATTGTCGAAGACAAAGCAAAACGTATTCGAAATTACAAATTCAAATATTTCATTGATGAAGGCCAGTCGATCGCTATTCACCATATTCAGAAGTATACTCGAGTTCACTTGAAACCTTCCAATTCTGTTCTAAGTGTCAAAGAATAAAGTTTTTTGTGAATGAGAAATGTTCATTGATATCTCCTCAATGAACATTGATTTCAAAAATAAGGAGAAGAGATTCCTCATTATAGAGAGTGGGTTAGAGAAGAACTCATAGAGCTATCTTCTACTATTTATTAAATCTTTGCAGGATAAACAACTTCAAAGAAGATTATTCAAAAGCTCAGTCCGTTAAGGACTATGAAATGCCTCTTACTCAAATTCATACTCCAATAGACTTCAAATTCCTTTTGATTTTCCCCCACTCTCCTATGCTTAAGTTGCTCAAAATTTAGTACCCTCGAATCCCTCTTCTTTAAAGCAAAACCCGGAAAAACAAACTTCAAATGACAATTTATGTTTCTTAAAAACAATTTTTCATCATATCACACTCACCAAAATTCATAGAAACTCCTCCTTATAATTCATTGGTGTCCCTTACTCGAAGGATCTTTCCTGATGGATACCAATGGTGTCCTGATGACTCCTCAGAAACTTTTTAAGATTTTGAACTCATTTTTCTTGATTCAAATTCTATCAAAATATATCATAGACCAGATAAAAGAAATCCAAATGTTACAACCTTGTCAAAATGCATTATTAGAAAGGTTTGTAAGACCAATCAATGGACTTCCCTCTATTTAAAAAAAAAAAAAAAGATTTTCGGTCAAATTTATTTCAGATGGCTATACATATCAATATTACAAAATGGCCTGGTATAGAGCTTTTTATTTTGGGCCTTTTGACCCATTCATGGTTTTTTACATTTTCATAAAAATTGTGATTGAGAATTCTTAATTTTATTCTATCATTCGTGGACATATTTTGGACCTCAAAAAGAAATTCTACCCCCTGAAGGAAATATGGGAATTTAAATTTGTATGAGAAAAGCTCAAGAAGAACTATATTCAAAGTCAATCACATTTTACCTTGACTTCAAAGTCCATTGAATATTTTGCTAGAGTTACAAAGTCATTCAATATCTTGAAAAACCCTTGCCAATGTCATGAATTCAAAATCAAATCATAGATAGGATTCTCAACAAAATATTATTCTCAAGAGAATATATGAAATTTCTTCAAATAGGAGAAAAAATCAAATGAGTTATCAAAAATGTGTCAAAAAAATAAAACAAAAATTAAATCCAAGCCTCCTATCAAAAAAAGCTCCAACTCTCAGCCAGACATGAATTTCTTCTCAACAAAATGATGGAGAATCTCTAGGTTATTCAATAGTATTTGGATTTTTTTTGAGAACTAAACAACAAGAAAAGACAAGACACAGTCTGCTGGATCCAACTCAAATTCGTTTGGAGGGTCCTGTGCACGAGACGCAAATGACGTACGGTAGATAAAGTTATTTTAACTCTAACGTCTTGACGACTATGCCAAGGATGTTGGCATGAAGATAAGATGTAAATTCAAATGCAAGTGTCAGCATGCTAATGAAATGTAAATGACAGTACAAATGCAATTTAAATTAAAATGTATCCTTGTCTCTGAATACTCTGATGTATCAAAAAAGAAGGCGGAGCGTATTGAGAGAGCGTTTAGAGCAAACATTCTCTGAGCCTTCAATCTTACAAAATTTGTAATCAATAAAAGTTTATTTCAAGTCTTCATCAGTTCCACTTTCAACAACTATTCTTCAAAAGTTTTGATAAAGTTTATTTTGCTTAAGATTAATCCATGGCCATTTATTAAAAATTTTTTCCATTCATTTAATTTCATCCATTGAATTCTATTTGTCTGTCCTGTTTGGAATTGTTATCAAAGCCATGTTAGTATTTCATTCTATTTTTGTCATTCATTCTGCATTTATAATAGTTAGCACTACATTATATTCTAGTATTGGAAAGACATTAGTAAGTTTGTAAAATTGTTGGTAAGCCTATGAGAATTAGGGTGTTCCAGACATAGTGCTCTAGTTGTTCCAGTAAGGATGTATAGATACATGTAGAATAACTATTATCAATAGTAAAATGACTGCTAAGATAAAAAGGGGTAAGGAGTGAGGAACAGGTTGTTCTAATTTTGAAGTATAATATGTTAACCAAATAAAAAAATGGAAAATTAAAAGCTCTCGTTTCATCTCTTTTTACCATTCCTTTTTTAACCTTTCCCATGCATGACGTTTCTAATTTTGAAAATCAAATTCTTTTTGCTTCATTTTCTGGTTCATCAAAATCTTCTTGTAAATATTGAAAATTAATTTTTGAAATTGGCAAGAGTCAAAACATTAATTTCTCCTTTTGTTTGAGAATGAGCTGGTGAAAAATCAGAGGGATTTTGAATCGAATCAGGAATAGGTGTTTTGAATTTAAGTGCAAAAATAATGGATTCAAAATAATATGAATATGATTGTCATGAAGGTAAAATATTTTGAAAAGAAGACGATGGTCTTTCTCAATCTCATTTTGTAATTGTTTTAATTGGGTTTTCATATTATTTATTTCTATTTGTAAATCTTTTGTAGTGCTTTGTTTTATGTTGTTAGTAGAAGGGTATTTTTCTAACAATTTTGAAATATTAAATGGTTCTATTATTTTAGGTAACTTTTCTTCTTGTAATATTTAATCTTTTAATCTATTTAGATATTATTTTTTGCATTCTGGATTTGTTATTTTATCTATAATATCAAGTAAAAATTCTTTATCTTTCGTTTTGATTATTACATTTACATAGAAATCATCATAATTATCTTCTTCATTTTCTTTGTCATTAAATAATAAAGTTATTAATTTATCTTTTGCATTTGACTCTTTTTTAGATAATTCATTAATTTTCATTTTTAGAGTACATGGATTTGCTTTATGCCCTACTCTTCCACATTTCTAAAATACACTTTTAATTTTGCATCTTTATTTGATTTCTTTTTATAATATTGTTCATTACTTCCTTTATTTTTGAATTTTCTATATTTCTTGCTATGTTTAAGTTTTTTCATATTTTCTAAAGATGGAGATTTTATCCCTTTGATACCAAAAGTTTCACTAAATGATCCTACTTTTTTTCATCCAGCTCCATATTTCATTTGAATTTTTAATTCCAAGCATAATGCGATAACCTTCATTTTTGATAAAAGAAAATAGTTGGCCAAAGGTCATATTTTCAAATGAAATGATTTCGGTGTCTATTTCCTTTTGTGGATTATTTATTATTCTTTTTATGAAAATAATTTTGGTAAACCTGTTATAAATCTTTCTCTCCAAAAAGAGGCATTGGTTTAGGTATTCTTAGTATATGAGTTAAAAACATATCTTTGCACTAGCGAAAATCTAATAATGATTGACATCTTAAATTTATTATGAAAACTTTTGAAGCGGTTAATGCTTCTTTTGGTTGCCTATAAAATATAATGCAATTGTAGCTATTAAAAGATCTCCTGCGTCTGATTGAACTTGAATGTTTCTATTTTATCTTAAAATTTATTGTATGTTCTAATATTACAACTTTATCTTGGAGTGTTAAGGCATTATCTCACCAATATTTTAGCTGTTTAGTAAAACCTGAAACTAGTAAACTAGCAGTATGTCTTTCTTTTGCATGTTTGAGTCTATAGGCCATTCAAGCCATTCCCATTTCTTTTAATGTATTTGATATTTCATATTCAACTTTTCCATCTATGTTCCATTCGTAAATTGAACTACCATCACATTTTTAAACATAAAACTTAGCTCTTTCTTCATATTGAATATCTGAAGGTGGAGGTCTGGGATAGTAATTTCTTGTTTCTGTTAATTTCTAATTTCTTTTGAGATTTTTATTCCTTCTAATTCTATTGATTTCTAGTTCTTGATTATCATCTTCTTGAAATACTTGTTCTATTGGTGCTATATGTTGAATTATATTTTCGTCTTCTATTGAGCTTTCTACAGCTAAAAATTTCATTTTGTTGAGTAGAATTTATTTGATCTATACAATTTAACCTTGAAGTTCCTGTTCCTAAAGATGCTAAATATTGCGATATTTTTTAAAGTATAGAATTTTCCGCATATGAGGAAGAAAGGTTTAACTCCTTTTCCTTTTCTCTTGGTAGGCTTCTTGGCTAAGAATGTGAAGTAGAGATTTCATTTGGAAATTTAAGAGTTGGTCTTGGAACAAATTCTGTCTTTGTGGAAAGTACTTTTTAAGTGTTGTGAGATAGTATATTTGGTTGGAATAATTATTTTTTTGGTAAACCTTTATAATATTCTTTAAATTAACTCTATTATTACTTGAATCTACTTCTTTCTCCTTGAAAAGAGATGCTTCTATATTGCCTTTTGAAGTAGAAATTTGTATATTTGAAATGGAGGGGTAGTCGAACTAACTGTTTGTCCATCTTTTAAAGTGCATTTTTTTTATAAAGGCTTATTTGAACATTTATTTGGGGTAAGGAGTAAGGATCAGTTATCCTAATTTTGAAGTACAATACGCTGACGAAGAAAAAAAATAGAAAATTAAAAGCTCTTTGTTGCATTTCTTTTGTCCATTCCTTTTTTAACCTTTTCTTGCACGAAGGTTCTAATTTTGAAAACCAAATTCTTTTTACTTCATTTTCTGGTTCATCAAAATCTTCTTGTAAATATTGAAAATTAATTTTGAAATTGGCAAGAGTCAAAACATTAATTTCTCCTTTCATTTGAGAATGAGTTGGTGGAAATTTTGGGGGATTTTGAACCAACTTAGAAATAGGAGTTTTGAATTTAAATGCGGAAATATTATCTATAGTAATATATTTAAAATATCTGAATATGATTGTCATGAAGATAAAACATTTTGAAAGAAGATGATGGTCTTTCTCTAAAGGAATGAAACTTCAACAAAATTGTGCCATCAAGTTCTTCTATTATTTGATCTACTTCTCTTTTAGTAATATTTTTAGGTGAGCCACACAATAAAATTCAAACGTTGGTGGTGAACCAAATTTTCCGTCTTCATCCTCTCCCGCTCCCACCACCTGTCGACTTTCCACCTCTATATAAATACCATAACCATTCCACCTCTATGCAATCGCAAAAACAACTTCGAATCACGCAAGCAAATTTACACCCTTTCCTCTCATTTCAAGACCTTTAACACCATTTACACCCTCTCCTCTCATTTTACAAATGGCTTCTCTGCAGGGTAGCATGATCAAGGCCATGGCATTGGCAATTGTGATGTTGGCCGTTGCAGCCGCCTCAGCCCAAGACCTGTCCCCGGCACCGTCCCCCAGTGAAGGCAATGCAGCATTTTCTCTACCGGTCTCCACCGCCTTGATCGCAAGCTCTGTGCTCCTCTCTGTCTTCGCTCTGCTGAGGCATTGAGTATTTGAAGAGTTTTTACGTGAGAAGCAAAGAGCAAATTGTTTGAACATAGAGGAGAGAAAGAGGGTTTTGTTGAATTTACTGTCGATTTTGGATAACATTTATTTTCAATCAAGAAGCTAGAGATTTTATTACCAGATTTTTTTGTATTACATGTTATTGAAACATACTGAGAAATAAAAATTCTGTTTACTTTATTATAAAAAAAAAGTAATATTCCTAGGTGGTTGGAGATTTTGAATCTGAAAATTTTGTGGGATTGTTATATCATTCCACTTGAGTCTTTTGGGCGTAAAATCTATTGGTTTATCTACTTCTACTTGTAATAAGATTGTTCATTTTTAAGGGCTGGATTCATATTGAATTTTGGATTCAATTGAGAAGATAATAGTCTAAAGTAAATTCTATATATTACGATAAAGTTCTTACAGAATTGTTCTAATTCTTCTCCCTACAAATGAATATCTAATATAAGCGAATCATTTATTAGTGGATCTGTAAGATCTATGAGAAAATCTCGAGCACAGTTAAAATATATTGGACCATTACAAATATTAGTCTTAATCATTGCTAATAAAGAAGCCTTATATCTTTTTGAGTCTTTTATCTCTTAATGTTAAATATATTAGAGCATCTACCCTCATATGAACTAACATGCAACTTGAATTAGCCCAAAATAAATATATCCATATCCTTAATTAACATATTTTTGTAAGGACACTTGACTTAATAACAGCATAGATTGAAACTCTTCTTGAATTGAAATCGTTTCTTCATGTGTTTAATTGAGAAGGTCGATTTGAAATATGATGGACCTATATTATAAAATTTTTCTATTTTTTTCTTCTGGAATAGACTGATTTTCATCATTAATTGGCATACAAATTTCACTTAGTCTAAACTCTTTCAATCAGAACCTAATAGCATTTTTGTAATCTTAGCAGCTATTAAACTATTTATTATAGTTATTTTACATATATCCATACATCCCAATTGGAACAACGGAAGCACTATGCTTGGAACATCCTAATCCTTATGGGTGTACCAATGGTCTTATAAGCTTACCAATGTCTTACCAATGCTAGAATATATGGACAAAATGTAGTGCTAACCATTTATTATTATAAATGCAGAAGAACGCATAGAAATAGAATGAAATATTAACTTGGCCTTGATACTAGGTCGAGCCTAGGACAAATAGATAGAATTCAATGGATGAAATTAAGTGAATGGAAAAATTTTTAATAAATGGACATAGAATAATCTTAAGGAAAATAAAGAATTGAAATAAGAAAACTTACTTTTAATATAGCAACTTTATATCAAAACTTGTGAAGAAGAGTTGCTGAAAGCGGAAGTGATGAAGACTTCAAATAAATTTTTTTATTGATTAGAAAATTTGACAAGATTTAAGGCTGAGAGAATGTTCACTCTAAAACGCTCTCTCAATGCGCTCTACCTCCTATTTTGATACATCAGACTACTTACAAACAAGAATACATTTGAATTTAAATTACATTTGTAATGTCATTTACGTTGCATTAGCATGCTGACATTTGCATTTGAATTTACATCTTATCTTCATGCCGACATCCTTGGTAAAGTGGTCATAACGTGAAATTTGTCTGCCATTATATGTCATTTGGGTCTTGTGTGCCCTTCAAATGGATTTGAGCTAGATCCAACAAACTCTGCCTTGTCTTTGTCTTGTTGCTTCGTTCTCAAAAAATCCAAATGCTGTTGAATAACATTGGGATTCTCCATTATTTTGTTGAGAAGAAATTCATGTGCTCACCCAAACCGGAGCTTTCTTTGATAGGTGTCTTTGGAATTAATTTTTGTTTTATTTCTTTTGACATATTTTTGATATCCCATTTGATTTTTTCTTCCATTTGAAAAAATTTCATAACATTCTCTTGAGAACAATATTTTGCCATTTGATTTTGAATTTCCAAACAAGTGTAGACCATAAAAAAAAAAAATTTACAAACAAGTGACACTGGCAAGGATTTTCGAGATATTGAATGACTTTGTAACTCCGACAAAATCTACATGGGACTTTGAATTCAAGATGAAGCATCATCGGCTTTGAATATAGTTCTCTTTGAGCTTTTGATATATAAACTTAAAATCTCATATTTGGTTTGAGAGGCAGAATTTCCTTTGAGGTCCGAAATATGTCCACCAATGATAGAATCAAATTGGAAATTCTCAATCCCAACTTTCATGAAATATTAAAAACCGTGAATGGTCAAAAGGCCTAAAATAGAAAGCTCTATACTAGGCCATTTTGTAATCTTGATATGTATAACCATTTGGATTAATAAATCCAACCCAAAATTTTTTCTTTCAATAGAGGGAAATCTATTGATTAGGCTTACAAAGCATTTTAATAATACATTTTGAGAAGGCTGTAACATTTTGATTTCTTTTATCTGGTCTACCACATATTTTGATAGAGTTTGAATCAAGACGAATGAGTTCATAAAATCTTAAAGTTTTTGAGAAGTCGTCAGAACACCATTGGCATTCATTAGAAAAGATCCTTTGAGTAAGCGATAAAAATGAATCATAAGGAGGGGTTTCTTTGAGTTTGGTGAGTGTGATATGCAGAGAAATTGGTTTTAAGAAACACGAATTGTCATTTGAAATTTGTTTCTAGGTTTTGCTTTGAAGAAGAGGGATTTGAGGACACCAAATTTTTAGCAGCTTGAGCATCGGAGAGTGGGGGGAAATCAGAAAGATTTTGAAATCTGTTGCAGGTAGGAATCTGGGTAAGAGGCATTTCATAGTTCTTAATGGACTGAGCTTTTGATGAATGTCGTTTGAAGTTGCTCATCATGCAAAGATTTAACAGTTTTGTGAGTTCTTCTCTTGTCCACTCTCTATCATGAGAAACCTCTTCCCCTTGTTTTTGAAACCAATGTTCATTAAGGAGCTATCTTTGAACATTTCTCATTCTCAAAAAAACGTTGTTCTTTGATACTTAGAGAGCAGAATTGAAGGTTTCAAGTAAACTCGATGATACTTATGAATATGGTGAATAGGAATCGATTGGCCTTCATCAATGAAATATTTGAATGTGTAATTTCAAAGGTGTTTTCATTATTAATGGATTTTAATCGAGAAAGCTATTTTTGAAATCTAATGGGCTTATATTATAAATTTTTTCTATTTTTTCTTCTAGAATAGACTAGTTTTCATTGTTAATGGTTATATGAATTTCACTACTTTAAACTACATCTGAACTCTTTGAATTAGAACCTAATAGCATTCTTCTAATCTTAATAACCATTTTACTATTTGTAATAGTTATTCTACATATATCTATACATCCTAAATGGAACAATGGAAGCACTATGCCTGGAACACCTTAATCCTCATGAGTTTATCAACAATTTTACAAGCTCGCCAATGTCGCTAGAATATATGGATAAAATATGGTGCTATTCAATTATTATGCAAGCAAATATTTAACTTGGTCTTTACTTATTTTTTTGCATTCTCTAATTTGAGGAAAGAAATGAAAAAAGCAGGTGAGAAGTGAAAAAAGGGATATCAACCCTTAGATGATTGTAGGAGTTTATTTATTGAATGATGTAGTAAGAGTTTATTAGATTATAATCAGAGCATAATACCCAAAAGGGATCGATGTGCAGCATATTAATGAATGTGCAGCATTTTGAATTTCAGAGTGAATAACGGATTAAAAGGTCTCGCAGTTTCGCAATTGGGCATTTGGCAAGAATGAAAACAATTGTCATAGAATTTTTTTTCTTCACTTTTGATTTTATTTTTGTATAAAAGAGTTTGGCAGTTATTTTTACAGATTATCTACCAATGGAATACTGCTCATAAAGGGACTAAAAATTAAAAAGCCTACGGTGTAAGGTTAGCTTGGTTGGTTAGACCAATTATACATTTTTATCATCTATCAAAAGTTGTCAAATTTGGGAGATGACATTAGTTTAATGATTAAAGAAAAAGATTACTCTAAATAAATGTACACATATATAAACTTCAAATACTATTTTGTGAACATTTCCAAACTTTCTATCAGATTTACTGACCGCCAACATTGTTTAGAGGGCAAAACATTATGGATCCATGTACAATAATTAGTCATTTTATAACTTCAAATTTGTTAATTTTGTATATGTGCAACAAAGGCTACCAATTAGTACATGTGTAAAACTATTCAAACTCTTTGATATCATCAATTTGGCGAGTCCATTGAACTGGTCTCTAATGAAATGCTATCATTCTTTTCCTACAAGATTCAGTTGGTTGGTTTCAAATGATGAAACAAAATTTATACAGACCATAATTTTATATGATGATCAACATAACTCTTTCTTGTCCATTGAGTTATTATTTTCTGTTCCCATAACATATTTAGGTGGTGTTTAGTTCACACCTTGGAATCGGATTCGAATTTGGGATCATTCATTTTGGGTTTGAAATAGAGCCAGTAATTCCAATACATCTATTTGGTTCAGTACCAAAAATGTATATCATGACTATAGTTGATGTTTGGTTCGCTGACTCTTTCGAAATGGGATATAAGAAATTTTTACTAATTAAATGCATTAGTATAAATGTATTAGTAAATTTAGTATAACTAATTAATAATTTTCATTAGTAAACATGTATAATTATTAGTATAATTGATAATATTAATTATATTATATATACTAATATACATTGTATAATACATATAATTGATAATATCATTATTATAAGTTTGTAACTAATTAAATTAAATATTATATATATTTAAATATAATTATACAAATATTATAATATAATTATATAATTATAATTATATAATATATTAATATTAATATATTAATATATTTATAATGTATTAAATATAATAATTATTATATATTATTATACTTATAATAATAAATACAATTATTATTATATAATATATTATTATTATAAACACATATATATTATAATTATATGCACATTTATAATATATATTAGTATAATATATTTAATTAAATAATTTCTATTATATATTATATTATATATGTGTATATAATAATTATAATTATAACTATAATAATATTTATTATAATAATTATAAATATGTTATATAATTATACTAATATTATAATAAAATATTATAATTATAATATACATAAGAAATAAAAAATGATAGTAAAGAAAGCATAGAATTAAGAAATAAAAAACTAGTCTTAGAAATAGCAAAAGGGTCTCAAGAATTAAAATAGTCTTATACTGAAGTAAAACATTTTCTAGAAATGATAGAAAGAATAGTGTTAGGATAGATAAAAACTAGCTAATTATAGAAATTTAGAAAATCACCCTGATTACCAAGATAGTTTAATAATAGTTAAAAAATATGATCAAGAAATAGTAGGGTTTACTGATTATTTAGGACAAGCTGCATCAGATAAAATTTATTCTAAACAAAATAATTTACAAATAGCATTATTAATAAAAATTTACCACAAATTAGATAATCTAGAAATAAAAATTGAAAACTAAAAAAACAAATAGCAAAAATAAATTTAGAAAAGATATAGAAAAAGTAATTGAACTATTTGCTAGAATACAAGTAGAAACAATATAGAAAAAACCTAAAGAAGACAACAGTAAATTTGGAAAAGATGCACAGACATTCTTTTCGGGACCAAATAGAACAATAACAGAAAATACCCAAGTAGGAATATCAATTCTAGATAGAATAAGAAGTACAAATAGAAATAATAGAGGAATAAATTTAGAAGAAAAAATAAATGTAAATAGAGACCTAGAAATATATAGAAATAATGAGATAACATTACTAAACCCTAGAAGATTATATAATGTTGGAATATTACAATCGAGTACAAGATTATTTAGAACAAGTAGAGAAGAACCTATATCTGTAACAACAAAACCTAGAAGTCTTAGATTAATAACAAATGATAGCATAAGAGGGTTAAATAGAAATTACACTTATTTACATTTAGGATTAATAGTAATAGGGATAAAAGGACTAACTAGAAAGGGATTAGGAACTAAAACGTTATTAGTATTATTAGATAAAAGATTCAAAAATACAGAAAAAGCGGTTATAGCAACTATAGTGGTAGACATGAACCAAAACCAAGGAATATTTTATTGCCGCCTAGACTAGATGATGACTATAGAAAATTTGCAACACTTAGAAATTGGAATTAAAACAAAGGGATATGAAGAATTTGTAGGAGATAATTTAATAATTAGCATAGCAATAATAGGAAGATTAACAAATGGAAGTAAAACAAAATATAAAATAAACATTAAACCAATAATAGAAGCAATGGCTAGGAAAGGAATACAACTAATAAAACCCTTAGAAATAAGCTCAAAAAAACTAGCAAGAAAAGAATGGAACCTTAGTGACTTCTTAGAAAATGAAACTCCTTTAGTACCAAAAGATAGTATAATATACAAAAGAAGCAGGG